GGTTTGGGGGAGGGATAATTGAATTGCTTCAATTTCATAAAAAGGCAGTGTTATAAAGAACTATTGCATTGGGCTAGAGGGAAACTCAATGGTTAAAAGCACCTGCTACTCTTACAGAGGACCCAGGTTTGGTTCCTAGCACCCATGGGTGGTTCAAATTGCCTGGAACTCCAGTTCTAAGGGGTCCACTATGATCTTCTGGCTCCATGGGCACTGCACACACATGGTACACACAGAGACAAGCAGGGACACACACATACACATAAAAATTCCCAAAACATACTCAAATATTTTTTAAAAGAACCATTATCTTATCAAATTATTACATTAAATATAAAAGAGGAGATGAAAAATTCTTCAACTACTTTGCGTACGTGCATGTGTGTGCAGGCAGGTAGATGCTATAGTGTACATGTGGAGGCCAGGAGACAACTTGTGAGAGTCGGTTCTCTCCTTCCATCATGTGGGTCCTGGGGATCAAACTCACGTTAGTCAGGCCTGGGAGCAAGCTCCTTTACCCATTGAACCATCTTGCTGACCCTCATTTTACTTTCTTAAATGTTTGTTTTTAAACTTCAGAAGTGATACGTTTACTTTTACACAATCACAGAGTCTTGGACATCTGTTAAGTTTTCTGTGTTTTAAGACTCTGCTCTCTGTTAGGAAATGTTTCCGTTCAATTCAGAGAAAAGAGCTACAGAGCAGCTAAGTGAAACAAGCCAGGGACCAGAAGACAAATACTCTCTGATTCTGCTACGTGGAGGTGCCTAGAGCAGTCAGGTCATAGAGACAGAAGAGGGAGCGATCGTTCCCAGGGGCTTAACAGAGAGGGAAGGTGGGAGGTAGCACTTAAGAGATACTGCATTTATTTATTTTATGTATATGAATATCTTGCCAGCATGTATGTCTGTGTACTCACCATGTTCATGCAGTGCCCAAGGAGGCAAGAAGAGGGCATCAGATCCCTTGAAACTGGAAGTAGATGGTTGTCAGCTGCCTTGTGGGTGCTGGGAATCAAACCTAGGCCCCCAGGAAGAACATCCAGTGAGTGCTCTTAATCGCCTAGCCATCTCTCCACCCTACTTCTAAAATAATCTTAACATGGACAATTTAACTCATGTGCAACAGAGATGTCTAATGAGCCCCATAATTCAACCTCTGTTGTGAATGAGAGTGTTCTTATTTCCTCTCTGTTACTGTGATAAAACACAGACCAAAAGCAGCTTAGAGGGAGAAGGAATTTATTTAGCTTACACTTTCAGGTCACAGTCCATCAGAGCAGGAAATCAAGCAGGAGTTTGAAACATGGGGGAGCACTGGCTCATTCATTAGCTGGCTCTCTGGTTCATTCGCTAGGTGATTTGGAGTTCATTATCTAGACTAGGCTGGCCTTGAACTCACAGAGGTCTGGGCTTAAAGACCTGTACCACCGTACCCAGCTCACTAACTTTACTATACAGTTCAGGACTATCTGTCCAAGCATGGTGCCACCTCACGGTGGGCTGGCTCCTTGGGTCCTCTGGATCAATTAATAATCAAGACAAGCCCCCACAGACAAATCTGATATAGGCAGTTCTTCAACTGAAGCTCCCTCTCAGTTGACTGGAAGCTGTATCATGTTGACAAAGTTAACTAGGACACAGAGTCAACTTTATATCCTCCATATCTCCATTTATTCCTTTCTACTGAGTATTTTGAAGAAATCTTAGACATCGTACCATTTTATCTATACATGTCAATGTACAAGTTCAAAAAAAATAAATGCTCTTGACAGCAATGACCAATATAACCTCAATGCCATGACCACATCTAAATGATTACAGTAATTACTCAGTAGTCAATTACTGGTGAAGTTTTGCTATCTTGCATTTTTCCAGTTTGTTCGACTCAAAAAATCTAAATTAAAGTCTGTATACAATTAATGGGCCCATCTTCTGTGTCTTTGACTCTGCACACACCCATCTTTCTTGTTCTTCTCACTGCAATGTGATTTGTTGAGCCAACTGGCCTGTTTGTCCTGTAGTCTCCCTCACCTGGACTTTGATCATTGAATCTTAATGGCACCGTATAGCATGTTCATCTACCCCTTGGTTTCCCTGGAAACTGGTAGGTAGATCTAGAGACATGCTCAGATTGAGATCTGGGGTATCCATCATTCCATCAACCTCTAACAGTGGTGCATCCCACCTGGTGCCTCCTTGAACATTGTCTCAATCTTTTCATTCATCAGGGACAGTTGTACCCTCTTACTCCTTGCTTCCTTAGTAGTTGAGAAGCTAAAAAGAAAAATTCCTTTTAAAATTTGGGTATCAGATTATTGTAGCTGGAGTTTTCCTGGTCCTGCCTGGCCTACCGTCAGGACAAATCTCTCTCACCCACCAATCCTGTAGCTGCTCAGACCCAACCAAGTAAACACACAGATACTTATATTACTTATAAACTGTATGGCTGCAGCAGGCTTCTTGCTAACTGTTCTTATATCTTATGTCAACTCATTTCTATTAATCTATAAGTTGCCATGTGGCTCGTGGCTTATTGGTTTCTTAACATCTTCTCATGGCAGCAGCTGGCAGTGTCTCTCTTTCCTCTACCTTCCTGTTCTCTCCATTTTCCTTTCTGCTAGTCCCACCTATACTTCCTGCCTGGCTACTGGCCAATCAGCATTTTACTTATACAGAGCAACATCCGCAGCAGATTATAGAAATAAATGCTTGGTTCTTTTAACTCCTTTAAACCTTGTATAATTACCTACTTTTGTCTTTTTTAAAATTTAAAAATATTTATTTTTATTTTTTGTGTATGAGTGTTTTACCTGCATGTATGTTTGTGCATCGTGTGTGTGTGTGTGTGTGTGTGTGTGTGTGTGTGTGTGTGTGTGTACAGTGTTTGCAGAGGCCAGAAGAGGGCATTGGATTGCTGCAGACCGGAGTTACAGATGATTGTGAGCCTACATGAGGGCTTGGAATCCAACTTGGTACTCCAGAAGAGCAGCCAGTGAGTGCCCTTACCCACTGGGCCATCTCTCCATCCCCTGTTTTGTTTTGTTTTGTTTTTGAGACAAGGCTGGTCCTGTAGTCTAGGCTGACCTTGAACTCACTACCCTCTTCCTGCCTTTCTTCCTAAGTGCTGAGATTGTAGATGTGTGGGACTATGCCTGCCATTGACTAAATAGTTTTTAAAATGATGAGTTTATACACTGTTGGCAAGAATGCGAATCAGGGATCTGGAGAGATGGTTCACTTACTGCTCTTGCAACATAGGGAAGAAGAAGTTTATTCTGACTTACAACTCAGAGTGATCAGAGTCCATTAGAGCCGGGAACTGTGGCAGCGAGCAGCAGGTATGGAGGCAGGAGGAGAAAGCTGAGAGATTACATCGTCAAGCGCAAACAGGAAGCAGTGACAGCAAACTGTAAGTAGGGCAGGGCTCTGTAATCTAAGGCCCACCCCAAGTGACATATTTCCTCCAGAAAGTCCACTGCTCCCAAACTCCCCAACCAACCAACTGGGGGTCAAATGTTCAAATATAAGCAGCTTGAGGAACATTAATTATTCAAACCACTACATATGTGGTGAAGTATAAATCTATTTAGTCTTATCAATAAAAACCAGGAGTCAAATATTGGGGTAATAACCTGAAAGATCACAGAGGCAGACAGCAGCCACTAGTGACTTCTTACCTCTCCAGATCCTCAGACCGAAAGGCCTGATATCCTGTCGATATCCA